GGGGTAACGGCATTTTTTAGTCTTGACCATGCCCCATGTTTTTACTATGTGGAAAAATCTAAAAACCATCAAGGTCAGTCTCAAATGCCCACGAGACCAAAAGTGCACATCTAGCAATTAGAACTGGCGGGTGAAGAATGGGTACAACAAGGGGGAAATACCCGTGATGGAGCTCGGAGTTGAACCTGATCTTCTCGGATCCTTCCCAGCCCCGACACAGCTAGCTATTGCCAGTGTCTTGTGATCGACGGCAAGCCGCATCGTTTATTCTCATGATATAATCAGGTCAAAATGGTGGATAAAAACAGACCACCAGAAGAGGCAGAACCCTGAAAAACGTTCAAAATTAGTAAGAAAATAGGAAATTGCTGAATTGTGGAATTTTCAGAGATGGTCTACGAACGAACTGGGTTTTCCTCGCCACTGATAAAAACGACTTGAGTTTTGTTTTGATGCCAAAGGTCAAGCGTCTATAATCAAATTAACTCCACTTTCTTCCTTTGGCTTCACAACGGCCATCAATGTATGGCTGCTGAGACATAACTAGAAAACACCCTCAATGAAATGCCTTACTGTCTTCAAAACCTGGGAATAATAAATGGAAATTACAGAAAGATCTTTGAGCACTTCAATGCTCCTCTCTAGTAACATTGTGATGGTGAATGATTCGTAGTTCCGCTGTCAGCCACTATAAACTATAAACCGAACTGCGTTTCTTAAACTTCGGGTCTTATCTTGTTCCTCCTTCTTGCCATCAGTTTCTCAGTGCTGCATTATAGTTTTCTTGTGTGAGCCACAAGACCAGTTGTTTTGTTGCATTCGCAGTCTGGTTCTCTGGGATTTGGGGGGAAACAGATGTAACCTTCTTCCGGGTCGTAACCCACTTGAGGTCCGGAATCGGTTACATTATACCGGGCTGTCCGGCCAAGTTCATCTGTCGACTCGTGGAGATTCTCTTGTAGCCTAGTGTCAGGGCCCTGTGTGTGTGTGTGTGTGTGTGTGTGTGTGTGTGTGTGTGTGTCAGTGGGGTTGACCACGTTATTCCTGTCTCAGGGCCCTGTGTGTCTTGTAGTAAAGCAGGATGTGTTCACAGTTTGTCTTGTAGTACAACAGGATGTGTTCACAGTTTGTCTTGTAGTACAGCAGGAAGAGGATGTGTTCACAGCTCGCTTGTTTGGATCCTGAAGAGGGTGGGGGGGGGGGGGGGGGAAAACAGAGATGGACATGCTTCGACTGCAGGGACCCCAACACAGTGGACAAGTAAGACAAGTAAGTAAGTTTGCTTGTTGGTGTTTGTTCTAGATCTAGTTTAAACTTGGTTTGTCTCATTCTTGTGTGTTGTGCTCTTAGTCTGAAGATAATCACTTGTTCTCGGCGGGACTGGTACCAGCTATGCTCTAAGGTAGAGAATAAGGGTTCCCCCCGCTTTTTAATTTTCAGATTTTTTGCACACCCCGCGCTCTTTATTCCATACCCCCGTTTATTATTTTCCAGCTTGCCACGACCGACGATCATGTGAAACATTATATCTAGAATCTAGATAGCTGAATGAAACGTTTGTTCTTCTGTACATGGCAAAGTACCCTCACTAGTAGCGCCGGTACATATACCGGGTCGGCCGCCTCCTTTTTCTGTGCATTGGATAAACGTTTATACCTTGGTTTACATCGTTTTTGAAACTGGTTTCTTCCTAAATGGGAAAAGTTGTTATAGTAACGTACTAAAATCACTAAAAATTTCATGATCTGTTATTGTTCTTTTATTCACTGAAGGAGAAATAAAACAGATTTGTTCCTACTAGTACAGGGGTATGAGGTTGAATGTGCTACTCCCCCCCCCCCCCCCACATAAAAAAAAATTCCACCCCCCACTGGGTTTATTTATTTTGGGCCGGCTGGACAGTGTTTATTAATTTTGGACCACTTGCACAGTCCCGCTTATTTTCGCACAAATTTACTTTATGGCATAACTACAAATTAAACACTTCTGAACTTTGAAGCCAATTGCAATCAGTAGGGCCTAACTGGACATACTGTATAATATTGGCCTACACTTTCTAAGGGAAACATGAATTGAGAGCACAGCATTGACCAGAAGTCTTCAAAGATGGATTTTCGTTTTTCTCAAAACTGACAAAACATTACGGCACCTCTGGTTTTCGCCTAGCACCCCCCCTCTCTCTCTCTCTCTCTCTCTCTCTCTCACACACACACACACACACTTGTGCATGTATTATATAAGCCTGCATGTGTACAACAATCTGTATAATCCATGTAGGTCCATAGATACACACACCAATTCAGTGGCGCCAAAAAGAAACTTTAAATTATATTTGCCCACTTACTGGGTTCAAATCTTTCACGACCCACTCATACATGCAGGCACTACCAATTTGAAGCTAAACAAATGCTGCTTCATCTGACCATTTTATCGTTATAGATCTAGGCCGATGTTCCATTTGCAAGGAGAGTTGCCCGGGATACGCTGACTCAAAATTAACCTTTAAAAAATATCGCATAATAATCGGACATAAAATTAAATGTGTTCATTAGCATAATTTTCTCACAGAGCCATTACATATTGGTAACGTGTGGCGAGGGGATCTTTCTTGTACATGAGCTGTTTTAGAGTTTGCTACAAATTATCTATCGTTGCACTCCAAATTATCTATCGTTGCACTCCAAATTATCTATCGTTGCACTCCAAATTATCTATCGTTGCACTCCAAATTATAAGTTGCAGTTGCTGATCTTGGAAATAAAAGCAGTTTTTTTTCAGCTGCTGTTTCAAGAAGGCTCGACATATTAGATACCTACATTTTCCTCCCCTCAGAAGTCTTTTCTTTGTTTGATTGAGAAGCTCTTTCAATTCTGGTTAGTTGGATACATTTAGGCTCTCGGACTCGCAACCGTAAGGTCGTGGGTTCGAATCCCGTCAGGGGCCTGACGTTGTGTCCTTGGGAAAGGCATTTTGCACAAATTTTCCTCACTTTACCCAGGTGGAAATGGGTACCCGGGTATAGACAGTGAATGATCTTGTCACTTTGGTAGTGTTTGAGCGCGTGAAATCCGCAGCTTGCACTGTATGCTTCCGCGGAAGCTGAGAATGTTTTGGAGTGGTCTATGGATTGCTGGGGTAATAATATAGGGTAAAGCGCATAGAGCCTGCTGTTGAGCGGGGATATGCGCTATACAAATGCTATTTATTTATTATTATTATCATTATTTGGTTTGTTGAAATTTAGTGTTTCATAAAAGCCTTTGATCGGCATATACTCCAGACTTCATAAAAAGACTCCAAAATGACTGCGATTTAGTGCTCGCTGAATCAGTTAATTGCTTGTCAAATTAATTTTAAAAAAAAATTAATAAAATGACCAGTTCGTCCACCTGCGAAGAGCGGAAAAGAACAGTTTATTTATACCAAACGAGCTTAACGTTCGAACAATTCAACAATATATACCAAGCGAGGTAACCGTGAAATAATTGTTGTCCTGTCGACTGTCGCTATTACGGAATCGCGTGCCTTGTGCATATCCGGATAATCGGATAATCCTCAATAAGACGTTATTCGAATTCAGACTCTTAAACCCTTTCTCCTGACCTGTTTGCCGACGCAGGTGCACCCATTTGTTGAAATGATGCTAGGCCTAACCTGTTTGTCAAAGTGGTTCTAATCCATTTGCTGAGCCGGTTCATAGCATGTTATTTATCGTAGAGGTGCACAAACATATTATCCGGATTTTGCTAAAGCGACTCATTGCCCAGCCCTACCAAGACAGACGCTTGGCCAAGGCCAAGTCACGTGCGAAATAGCCCTGAAGTTGCGTAGAAGCGGATGAATACAAACAATATTTAAAAAATACTTGCTGGCCAAGGCTTAATAAAAGGCAGAAATGCTTACCTATATTGAAAAATAGCTGACTTCAATATCATTATTTAAAGTTATGTTCATATACCATCTAAAAATTTAGGACAATGTTTTCAATTTATCAAGAAAATAAAGTAAGAAACATAGAACTATATTTCCTGAATCGGAAGGATAACAGAAAAAGCTGTAAGCGAAATAACGTCACTTCCTTTAATCCTCCTGTTCAGGACAGAGAGACGTACTGGAGAAGTTAATCAAGATATACAGGCTTTATTTTGTACTTTACAAAAGCCAGACTATGTTTTGATTATTCAAGTCCTCTATTACGCTTAAAAACTTAAAAAAAACAAAAAAAAATTAGTAAAATTGTATAAAATAACAAAAAAGTTAAAGTGAAACGTGTTCGACACTGAACAAGCTGTTGTAAGATCCAAAGCTACCCGCCATATTTTATTCAGAGAATAGCAAGTTAGCCGTTGATACAGAACAAGATGAATCCGACAACAACTTACCCCATGGCATCACTTTATGTCGGTGATCTTCACCCAGATGTCACAGAAGCTATGTTGTTTGAGAAATTCTCAACTTGCGGACCTGTGCTTTCTATTCGTGTCTGCAGAGACATGATCACGAGAAGGTCTCTTGGCTATGCTTATGTGAACTTTCAGCAGCCTCATGACGGTAAGTTGTAATGTTAGTCTAGATTCTAGATATCTAGAATCTAGATATATATCTAGATAGATCTAGATTTAGGTCTACATTACAGCGAGACCACGATCATGTTTAGATCTAGATTAGATCTAGATTAGACTCTAGATAGATTATATCTTGGTGCTTGAACTTGGGGGTTTTGCGTTGCCTAGTCTAAAATTTGGACGCTTGGGAGTGGGGTGGAGGCGGAGGTGGTGGATGATTGGCATTGAGCCAGGGCAGCTAGATCTCTAGTAGGCTGCAGTGTATGTTGTTAGCCTACTAGATCTGGGTGATTTTGTAGGGTAAGATTGTACTTTACCGGACCACCGGTCGGAACTACTTTCGCTCTGGTGCCCAGTGGCCCGCTGTTCTTCGTTTCCGAGCTCCCCTACTCACTCTCCTACTCAGTTTTCAACGTCCCCGGTATTTTTTTACTTTCCCTACCGCCTCATACTCAGCTACCAGTTGTCTATTTTCTGCTAAATATTGATACGCTGAACACGAATATCAACATTTCCGTCGCAAATTAATAGTTTTTGTGAAATATTTGATTGTTTCTAACCGAGATCGACGTGCTTTGGACCAATCGGGGGGTTCCAGGGGGGGGGGCCTGCCCCACTGGGGTAAAAGAAAATCTGGGGGGTTACAGGGGGGCATGCCCCCCTGTTTTTACCTATAGTTTGATATTTTACAGTTAGATTTGAAGTTGTCTTGAAAATAATTGATTTGCGACAGTTTTAGTGGCTTTATGTGTGATCTGCATCAAACAGGACTGCAGTTTGACCCCTGAAGCAGTGCATCTGTGTGCGGGAGTGAAAGTAAAAAATTACCACGTCCTCACTCTTCAACTGCAAGCAATCGACTGCTGTCTCTTACCGGGTTTTTCAGTCATCACGACCGTGCCACTGTGCCCTTTGACCCATGACCCTGACACCTTGAGGCTATTTGGTCAATCTAATCACGTGGTCCACTATTCTTATTTGCTCGCGACTCTGCTGGCTTGGCCTAGGCCTACTCCTGGTCCGGCAAAGTACAATGGAGGGCTAGAGATGCGCACGAGAGCTCATTTGCATAATTGCAACCCCATTGGTAGGCACTTGGATATCGGCCCGCGCGGCCCGAGATTTTCGTTCACCTGCGGCCGCCGCGTTTTGTGTCAGAAATCGGGCCCCGTGAGGGGGGTACCTATTTGTTTTGTTTCGTTTATAGTGTTCTTTTCAATTTATGGATTACTTCCGCCTATCAAATTAAAGAGGAAAGAAAGGCGCGTATTATGGCGTTTTCCACTTCGGGATCGGTTGTGTGTGTTCGGAGTTACAAGGAGTTAAAAATAAGGTAAGTTCAAGCCTTTATATTTAAAGAGTATATCTTTTTTTTTTTAGGTACTCCTCACAGTCTTTTCTTCAACCTTTTATCTCTTTTATTTGTTAATTTCAATGTTGTACGTTGAGGCATAAGCGTGTGAGCCCTAATTTAAATAGGTCACTCTCCATGAATGGGCATGACCTATTATCGATCGCGCTGCTGAGCGTGAACCGGGAGGTCATGGCGGCCATTGCGGAAAGCGAACTTAACCCACGCTAACGTGTATTGTTGGCGTTTATTACCTCTTAAACGGCATTGAAGAATGTTTTATAGTAGAAGATATGATTCATTTTAAATTTTGGAATGTAATATGTATCACTGTTGTATAATTTTTATGAATTTGCACCATGTAACAATCAGTAAGGAGTCTTGGGTGGGGGGAGGGAAATGTAACAGCCTTGGCCTTGTTTTGTTTCTGTGTTACTGTCACTGTTAGACCATCCATTTCACGCAAGTTTTTACTTATTTTGTGTGCTTATATTGTCTTTAAATATTTTTTCTTCTTAATTGTTTTTGTGTGTGCTTGTTATTTAAATATCTCTTTAAATTTTCATGTACTTTGTCCAGTTTGTTTTAAGATACATGTTTATTAGAAGATGTTTTTTCTCTTGTCTAGTCATCTACACTCTCCCTTTACTAGAGTTGTAGTGTGAAAATGTCAAATTTCCATCCACTGCTCACAAATGAATTTATTTACTTCATTGATGAATTCATTGCTTTGCTTTTTTTTTCTTTCCACAGCCCCTGATCACAACCTGCCACTGTTCCATTGGATTTATTGACAGCTCACCAGAATAAATCCTGACTTTAATTAAAATCCAGAAATGCTTGCGGAGTTGGTCGAATTCACAGAAAAACTTGTTTGAACAAGTTGCAAAAAAATTGAGCACTTAAGAAAGCATTTGTTGCAGACAAGAAAAAAAAATTGACATTAATTTAACAATATCAAGTTGGCAGACTGGGTGAACTAAACAATTGCCAGAAATAAAGAAAGAATAAATAAGTATCGTGACACAATTGCGTGCTTCAAAAAACATGTCATATTTCACAACTAATTGTCTTTGAAGAAGTTGAACATTTAAATAAACACAATAAAAATATAATGAAAAACTTGCTGAACAAACTGAAGTAATAAAATTAGAAGAGACTATTGTTTAACTTACAGGGCAATCTCATGAGTTAAAGATGTAAAAGAGAAATCAAAGATAAAGACAGAGTAATTGATCATTTACTCATTTACATGACAAATTAAAACATGAAAGAAACATTCTAACAATAACATGCAAAATGAATTTAAAAAACAGTATTATCATGAATTAAGGTAGACTAAAAAACACTAGTTTGCAGCAGCTGTAGACACAAATGTTAACTTTAAAAACTTCTATGCTCATCTTATTTTAGGCGACCAGCTGTTTTGTTAAAATATATTATATTTTTTAATCAGTTTTTGTTAATTCTACTGATATTTGATATGTAGATGTTCCAAAAGAAAGGCCTTAAAAAGACCTTCAAAATGATACCTCAATTATTGATGTAGCTTAATTTATAAGAAAGTTATGGCAAAATATATTGACCGCAGGACGATGCGGTCACGTTACACAACACAGTGTTACATAATATTACCCAATATTACCCACCACGACATATTTTAAAAATCTCGTCTGACTGTTATTTTGTCCTCAATATCACAAGGTTTCAGAAAATGTTTGGTTTTAGCATGTACGCAGCAGCATATTGAAGCAGCTTACATTTCCCTTATTGTCCTTGCTGTTTCGATCACAAAAATTGCCTTTTTTTTCTATATAGATGTTATCCCCTCGAAAAGATCTTTAAAATGCAATATCTCAAAAACGGTTCAACATAGAGCAATAACTAAGGTAGCGTTGGAATCGTGTCACTGAGCTCTTTGCATTGGTATTGTTTTTAAAGCAATTTGAAAGCTTTGAAATTTTTATCCAAGTGCCTACCCATTGGCCCTGCTCGCGACTTATCATGCTATAGGCTATTGTTTATATGTGTGTGTGAGTGTCTTTAAATTATCGAAGTGACTATTTCTCCGAACGTTCGGAGAAATAGTGCCGATCTTTATTTCTCCGAACGGTTTCCGGCTTCCGGTCTCGTGATTTTTTGCCTATTTATTGCGAGAGTTCGGCGCCAACTTTCATTCTGCCTCTGATCTGGGAAGGAACACCGCATGGCAAGCCCGCCTACAGACAACCTTCAGTAACACCCACCACACACACACCACCATCATGCACATGTACACACACTAACTAAACATGACTAGTGGGCAACTTTTGAACGTATGACGAACTGAGCTATGGATGGAGAGACAGTGTGAGTGAAAGAGCGGGTGAAAGGAAGAATGTGCGAGAGTATCCACAGGCGACAGCAACTACAAGACGACGACACCGACCCCCCTGGCCTGGTCCACAGCTCACGAAAGAAAGGAATGCAGCTCAGGCAGTTTTGCCTATATTATTGTCCATGGTTCGCAGGGTGCAAGGGAATGAGTGAGATTTTCTTTGTGTGTGCCTGGAGGGAGGGGGTGGGGTATGAAAGTCATGCGGACAGGGATGAGCCGCGGGAGAGAACACGGGAATTGAATGAATGAGTAAAACTGAAAGAGACGAATAACTCATGAGCCCCGGAGTGAATGGATCCTGTGTTTCTATTTTGTATACTTTGAACTGTTACTGAATAAAGGCTGAAATAAAGCTCGAAAAACAAACACACACACACACTCCTCACTCTCCACTTACTACCACACACAGACATACTCACACACGCACATACATACACACACGCACACACACACATACATACACACACGCACACACACACACACACACAGGAGCAAATTTTTGGGTCTATATCTATTTCAATTTTCAAGAGCTAGTCTAGAGATTTTTAGATGAGTGTACAAACGTGAAAAAGAAAGGTTTCACAACAGAAAGAAATCAAAATTAGAACAGCTCATAAACAAGAACAAACATTAACAAATAAGGGCGAGTGTCCACCTGTCCGAAGAAGATTGGCTGTTTTAACCCTAAATGTGCGTAATTTTTAAAAAAGTACAGAATATTACATGTAAATTATGGAATCACACACATTAAGGGGCTTTGCCAGTGTCAGTACATTAGTCGCAGTAGTTCTATCGTGTCGTTATCAATAACCCTCCGTAGATCTAGATCTAGATCTAGACAGCACACGAGTGAACACAACACATTACATTTAAGAGCAGTACCCTTCATAGGCAACACGCCATATCTGTAGCGAAAAACTGTTTGGAACTGTAGCATTTCTTTATATAAATATTTACTGAGGACATTTTTTGGACCGCTTGAACCATATTGTATACGAACAGTCTTTGGTAGGCCTATACTGTAATTATAGATATATATAACATCCGAAATTTGCGAGAAAGGATGAGATTTCAGAGTGTTCGGAGAAATAGTGCCCAGCTTTATTTTCCCGAACGTTCGGAGAAATAGTGCCCAGCTTTATTTTCCCAAACGTTCGGAGAAATAGTGCCCAGCTTTATTTTCCCAAACGTTCGGAGAAATAGTGCCCAGCTTTATTTTCCCAAACGTTCGGAGAAATAGTGCCCAGCTTTATTTTCCCAAACGTTCGGAGAAATAGTGCCGGCCTTAAATTATTGTTGCCAGGGGGGCTAGCCACCCAGAAACCCCCCCATTGATATGTAAACACGACTGTCCGCTCATGTTATTGTTTCGCATTTTTGTGTGTTTTCTTTATTAGGCTAGGCGTGCGTAGTAATCACGGGCCGAGACAGGTGGTCCGGTAAAGTACAATCCAGCCTTTTGTAGTTTCGTTCGTTTAAAGTCCAAAGCTGAACGCCAGAGTCAGAGACCCTAAATTGCCAGGTAGGCCTAGTCGTTGATGAGTGAACTAAGCGTGAGACTGAGACTGGAAGGAAACACGTCAAAAGCCAGAAAATCAAAATTCAAGCCAACAATGGTGCTTCTTCGGCAGTTACCCCCCCCCCCCCCATTATTATTCGCCAAGGAGTCAAGAGTAGGGCGTCTTCCTGATCGGCTGCTAATTTCCTTCCTGTCTCACGCTTACTATTACTATAGTTCACTCAACGATTAGGCCTACCTGGCAATTCAGGGTGCGACTAAGATCTGCTAAATCTACTTTAAAAATGTATTTTTGGCCCTGTTTATTTTAGGAAGAGGCTAGCCGTACTTAATGACGGCTAGACTGGCAGTCTAGCCGTACTTATTCTTAATATGATGGCTTGACTGACCATTTAACAAAAAAATAGGCATTGTATGAATTGTAAATATACATTTTTAGTGTGCAGTACCTAAAGTATTTGTATTTGAGACGAAACCAGGTGCCTTAATGACAGTGCATGTATTTGTATTTTAAACCTCCTGTTTTCTATTAATGTTAATAGGGCCTAAGATAAGTACGGCTAGACTGGCAGTCTAGCCGTACTTAAGTACGGGTAGATAGCCAGGCTAGCCGTACTTAAGGACGGCTAGACTGTCAGGCTAGCCGTACTTAATATTGATGGCTGAATTGTAAATGGAATTTTTATTTTGCAATGCCTAAAGTATTTGTATTTCAGACAAAACCAAAAGGTGCCTTACTGACTTGCATGCATTTGAACCTGAATAATTGCTAGATCTAGATCTAATGAGACCTGTGTACTTAACAGGCTTGAGTCGATAGAGCCAAACCTAGATCTAAGTACGGCTAGACTGGCAGTCTAGCCGTACTTAAGTACGGCTAGCCACTTCGTTTATTTTAACGCAGTGGCTATTTTTACGGCGAGCCGTAAAGATAGCCTCCCAGTGAGTCCCAGGCTATTTTTACGGCGATCCTCGAAAAGCGACCCTACTCTGCCTCTCATGTACGCGACATGCCTCAATGTATTAGATCTAGGCCTATGAGCCGTTCAAAATATAAACTTACACCTCAGCCTCAGAGGGGAAAGGGTGTCTTTGGCTTCTGTAAGAAAAGTGGAAGATTGGGTGGGGAGGTTAACCAAATGACACTTCTGTGAGATGAACGTTTTGCTCATGACTGGGAAGAAAGGCGGGCATTGGATCGGCAGAAGAAAAAGTGGATAAATGCCAGTAACAAGACCCAGATCTGCATGATCACTGCAGATCCCCGTTGTTGTTGTTGTTTTTTTTTAGAGGAGTGGGGGGGGGGGGGTTACAAATAATTTTGAAATTATGATGAAAATTCTGTCGGTGGACATCTAATTTCTTAATGTTTCTTTGTAACTTTGCAACTGTTTTGTTGATCTTTTAATGTCTTGATGTCTTTTATTTGTAAGGCACGTACCTATTGCATTGACAAGAGTCTCAATGTCTTCCATATTTATGCGTTCTTTCTAGTTCATATGGCTTGATTAAATTGTATTAACTGAAATGATTTTTTTTTTACAAGCTGGTTAAAAAAAGCCACGTATAGTACAGGTATCTTTAAAATAATAATGGAAGTTGAAGATCGGAAAAAGTACTAATTAAATTGATGTGGATGGGGGTTGGAGGCAAATGTGAGAAAAGTGGTATTTGGGTTTTGTGTTTTAAAAACGTCCCCAAAAGTGTAAGATTATATTTGAACAGCCTCATAGCCTGTCATAGGTTTTCCATTTCCTCCTCTTCACCATCATCATTCTATTCTCTTCTTTATCTTCCTTCTCCCTTCCTCCACCACCACTTCTTCCTTCTTCTCCCCACCATCATCATTCACCCTCTCTTTATCATCACCACCACCATCACCTCCTCGTCATTATCATTACCATCACCACTGCCACTGCCAGCATCATCTCATTCACAGACATCACTACATTATGTACCACACCCACAAGAAGAGCGGCCATTTTGGAGTTAACACTTTTCGCCTTGGGAATGCCTATATAAAATGTTCCTCCTTCCTTTGCACTGAGCAGATTTTTATTCTAGAGGTGTAAAATATATTTTTTTTATTCACAGTGATTAATTTATTAATTATTGTGATGCAATTTCAGGGTACAGGAACACATATATACATGTATATATTTTTTTTCATTTAAATATCAAAATTTTGCTCAGTACGATTGACCATAGTATCTGTATCTACCATTCCACCAATTTTCATGCAATTTTGTTAGAGAGTAAGAAGCCTTCGGTTTTTAAAAATAATTGTTTGTTTTGCATGTTGGTGCTGTTTCCATTCCATGGCAACTTTCATATTTTTGGACTTATCAAAATTTACTTTCTTCATTATTTCTTATGCCCGTATAATTTTTTTTCCTAAATATGAATCGGAAAAAGAATCACCCTTGGGGTGAGCTGTTCCCCATAAAAATGGACAGTAATAATATGAGCACATCAGAAAACAAAAACTTAAAAAATGCGATCTATTTTATTATTTGAAAGAATCCCACAACAACGTCCTAGTAAAGAACATAAAAACATTGAATTGTTTAAAAGTCCAGAATAAAGACTATAATTATGAAGCCAAAGACACCCTTTCCCCTCTGAGGTGTAAGTTTATATTTTGAACGGTCCCTACTATAGGCCTAGATCTAAAACATTGAGGCATGTCGCGTACATGAGAGGCGGAGTAGGGTCGCTTTTGGAGGATCGCTGTAAAAATAGCCTGGGACTCACTGGGAGGCTATCTTTACGGCACGCCGTAAAAATAGCCTGGGAGGCTATCTTTACGGCTCGCCGTAAAAATAGCCACTGCGTTATTTTAATTTGTGGGCCTCAATTTTAAACGAAAATATTCACGTTTACCTGGCAATCCATGAGTTTCAAAATGACTGCTGATGGAACGGGAAGGGAATTCTTAAAGAGCGCCGAACGCTGATGCTTGAAATTGAAACACGGTAAGTAAACGCAGACACTACTAAAGCGCGCTAAAATTGCCGTAAATACGCTCGCAGATCCCCGGCCCCATAAACAATGCAATGCACAGAAGAGATAGAGCGGCAGCGTCATTGGAGTATTGCATCATATCACATTACTGGTAGGCCTCCTGGGAAAACATCGCACCAAACGTGTGCCAAGGCAGGTATACACGATCTGTGGTGCCATGACGGTTGGCTATGTTTAAATCAGGGAGGACTTCCGTAACAAGCGACCACTCTGAGACAGTAGGGTTAGGGTTAGGTCTAGGCCTCTTCTTTATTGTGTTTGATGGGGTGGTCGCTCATTACAGAAGTCCTTCCTTGGATCATGTAGTCATGTGATCTGAGGGGTATCCTGGTCTGACGTCACACAAGATGGCCGCCTTACCTAAAAATTGTTTGCGTCATTCTACGTTTAGTCGCATGTGACAAGGACCCCTGACCTAATAAAAATATGAAGGGGGGGGGGGGATTTTTACCATAATTTGATGTTGGCAGTTAGCAGGTTTAATATCTCTCGCTCGCGCATCAAACATAGCCTAGGTTCTAGATTCTAGATCAGATCTTAGCCCACACCCAAATAAGCAGGGTGGCAACTAGATCTAGATCTTCCGAAAAAGTGGCCAGATTTTTGCCAACGAACGTGTCTTCACTCTGTTGTTTCTACTTCTGGTATTTTTTTACTTCACCTCCCGTCTCACACTCAGCTACCAGTTGTCCATTTTCTACTAAATATTGATGCGCTGAACACGAATATCAACTTCATTTCCGTCGCAATTTAATAGTTTTTGAAATATTTTATTGTTTTTAACCGAGATAGACATGCTTTGGACCAATCGGGGGGCCTGCCCCACTTGGGGTAAAATGAAATCTGGGGGGGTTACAGGGGGGCATGCCCCCCTGTTCTTACCCATAATTTTATATTTTACAGTGAGATTTGAAATTGTCTTGAAAATAATTGATTTGCGACAGTTTTAGTGGCTTTATGTGTGATCTGCAGCAAACAATACAGCAGTTTGACCCCTGAAACAGTGCATCTGTGTGCGGGAGTGAAAGTAAAAATTTACCCTACTTCTGTCCTGTCTGGCATCCCTATTCTTTGTGTTGCCTATTTGGTCATCAAGACTTCCCGATTTCTTCTCTGGATGTAAACAAATGGATTGTGGACTTTAACGAACGGAACTACAAGATCACTGAATACTAGATCTAGATAGAATAGATCTAGAATCTATATTTTCACTGTGAGTGCCGATATCATGTTTATCGCACTGACTGGGAGCGAGAGAAAATATCAAACCTAGATTTAGATCTAACAGCAAAAATTACACCAAAAAAATCTAATATGATATGGTTAAATACGGGGGAGAGGGCTCGCAACACCCTGTATTTGAAAAGGTCAGGAGGGCCTGCCCCTCGAAACCCTCCCTTGTAGTTAAATAGTAATGTAGGCCTACTGTTCATTTGGCTAGAACTGCAGACTGCGCAGTGGTACTATGGCTCGTTCTCTTTTGGCTTTTGGATAATGATAGCGAGCGTGTATTTGGCCTATCGATGTTCCTGTACTCTTTGCTGCCAAAACTGGAGAATGCCAGGTTTTTTTTACCTCTGTAGGCCTATACTACCACCAATTTTGTCATTTGTCCTTGAGCTTTGTTTATCTTTTACATCTTAATAGTTGGCCTAAGCTTATTTTATTTTTCATCTTTTTATATTTACAGCTGAGCGTGCAATGGACACCATGAACTTTGACACGATTAAGGGTCGCCCAATTCGGATCATGTGGTCTCAGAGGGACCCCTCCCTGCGTAAATCAGGCGTTGGAAATGTTTTCATCAAAAACTTGGATAAAAGTATCGACAACAAGGCTTTGTACGACACTTTCTCTGCTTTCGGCAATATTTTATCGTGTAAAGTGAGTATTTTTCGAGTTCAAGCTGAAGTGTGAGATACTTGTTCCGTGTGTATTTCTGTTGTTACTCGCTGTTCTTTTGAAAATGAACTAAAATTCAATGAGAAAGGTTTGTGTTCCATTTTGTCATAGTATTCTTGGTGTGGAATGAGAAGTTTTGATAGGTATGTTTCATGCTTGAAAATGATGTTGAATGTTGACCCACGAAAGGAATACATGACATGTGACGTAGTTGTGTGTCGCAAATGTTGTAAAACGTGAAACTCATCAAACGAAATCAAGGAATAGCACCATGTACTTACTTGTAATTTGTAAGATAGATAGCCGTGACAAATGCTTTACATTTTGTGTTCATCCTGTAAAATTAGTCGTCTAACAGCCACCTGTATATTTAGACAATCACCTGTATAAACAGCTACTCCTCCCCCTTCTTTTTTCCAAACAATTTTGACTGTGTATGACATCCACCTAAGAGGAAGTCGATGGGTGGCCACCTGGACATTTTCCACTATATCTGTGATGTAGGCTTTTATGCTTAGGTCGGCAGGTGGCTCCAGTACCAAGGTAGTCTTGAATGAGTCTGATTGTGACAATTTGTGTATGCTCCTCTCCTCTGTTTGATAGCGGGTTCACTTCTTCGACTCTTTCCTCTGATCAGATTTGTTTCCAAAGACTGGTGTTGTACTGGGATTTATCCGTCATGCTGTATTCTGACCTATTTTCCAGATTGCTTGTGATGACCATGGCTCAAAGGGATATGGGTTTGTGCATTTTGAAACGGAGGAAGCTGCGCGCCAGTCCATCGAGAAAGTCAATGGCATGTTGTTGAACGACAAAAAAGTGTGAGTAGAGCAGTCTTTGAGATATGTGTTGACTCATCTTTGTTTAGTAAATTGGAAAAGGACCCAGAACTTCTCTTTGCTGGTAAAGGTGGCCCCTTGTACAACTGATCTATCGGCAGGGTTTTTTTGTTTTACTTTTTTGAACTAATTTTCACTTGGAAATAAAATTAGCAAGGGCATATTTTTGCTTTCGCTCCCACACACAAATGCATTGCTCATTGGGGTCAAACATGAAGGACACAGATGCCTGGTTGTACCTGCGCTATTAACCTTCTACAGCAATGCCAGTCGGCTTTGGGCTGGAAATCAGACTGCACCAAGGCACAATAGGATCAGTCCCTGGGAGGCTTCGGTCAGAACGAAATTCTTCTACGGACATGAAGAGTTAAAAGTGGGGTCAGAAATTGAACAAGAAGCAAGTTTACCAGCATGCGGAAGGCACTTGTGATCTCTAAGCTGCCAAAAACTAATATGTTTGGATAGAGTCCACTTTAAGTTGTCGAGGGGGTGATTGGAGAACAAGGTTGATTTTCTTTTTAGATAAAAATTATATTCCTTTGTTTTCATGGGGGAAAAAGGGGAGAAGCTTTTGCCTTACTGGGTACCTTGTGAGCATGTCAGGATGTTAACGGCAAGTTGGGAAGCTTTTGTGTTGAAAAGTTGTCTGTTCAGTTTTAGTTGATGCACACTTTCCGACTTTCAAATTTCCAGGGACTGTCCTGGATTCTACACTTAAAAATTTGAGAGCCATATGACCACTACTTGACCAACGGCTGCCCCACTTGATGTACTTTTGTTCTTTGTTAAGGAATCAAATGTTGAAATGTTGGGTGTCTCTGATTGGCTTTGGGAAAGCTGGCAAGCCTTGGATGGGTCCTGCACGGCCTTTGCTCAGTTTTCAACCTTTTTAAAATTACAGAGCTGGTCGACGCCTCTTAGTTTTCTTTTGTTCCTTTCCCCCTCCTCTTATCAGGTATGTCGGCCGATTCATCCCCCGCAAGGAACGTGTGATGCAGATGGGTGACAAACACCGCAAGTACAACAATGTCTACATCAAGAACTTTGGAGAAGAGCTTGATGACGATAAATTGAGAGAAATGTTTGTCCAGTATGGCAAGATCATCAGCGCAAAGGTGAACCACTTTTGTCTCCTATGGTTCTGGTTCTTTATGTACTCTTCCTGGTTCTTTTGTAGATCAGTGGTAGTTGTAACAGTGTCGACCGTGCTGGGTCGGGTATAAGTTTTGGGCTGTCAGGATTAGGGCGAGCCCTTTTTAAAATATAGATACTGGAATACCTGTGAACGGAATGAAAGAAACTTGGCAACCGATCAAAACTCACTACATGTGAGCATACAACTCTGATGACACATTTCTAGTACTGGAGAAAATGCCTCATTTGTTCAATTTTTGTTGTTTTTTAGAAAGTAGGGAGCCCCAGTGTCGCTGTCGACTAGGCAGGCGGGCAGGCACTCCACATGTCTTCTGTACTGCTGGAAAATGTTCCAATCCCTGTGTGTAGTACATTTTACGTACTAACTTAAGAGGCGGGAAGTAGGTTTAAAACTGAACCTACTAGCTTGCTGGCATGTGATGGTCGCATGATCGCTAGTTGGCCTGTGATTAGCTGCCTAAAACTAAATAGGTTACAAGAGTTCATTGTCTGTTAGGGTGATGGTAGAACAGTGCCGATTGTTTCCACATCTGAGGTACTATTGTGTCTGCAAGGGCTGGAGGAAATTCATCCAAAATTCTGCTCAGTATGTTCGAAAATAATTTTTCGGCAAAGATGTATTGGAAACAAAAAATGTTATGTCTGAAGTTGCCTCCCAAGCCCTATTGATAGCAACTGCAGCGAAACTGTTCAACTAAACAAGTTTTCAAGCAAATTGTAGTTTTAAAAAACCAAAGTAGTAACGACATGGACAATTGAATGGATACCAGAACTAGGTTTAGCTCTGTAAATCACACTAAGATGTCAAATTTCATTCTCATTCACTCAAAATGTATTTCTGGCTTGAGAACAGTTTTCTTTCAAAGTACGCAGAGAATTGACCCACTTTTGGATAACGTTTTCCTATGTGATCTTTCTCAAATATTTTGCTGCTGAAAACGTTCACTACCGTTTATTTATCACTAGATTTCAAAAACTTAAACAGTGCTTTAAAAAAATTTAAGCTGGTTTCAAAGAAATTCCAGTGGGTGGTTGGCGGGTGCTCTGGTGCGGTTTGCTGCTTCTTCTTTCTTATCGAACATCTATCGTCCTTATCTCCCCTTCTTCTTTTTTATGTTTGTTACTCTCTTGTAACACCTAAATCTTTTGGCGCTCATATGACCTTATGCAGTTGCGAGCACCGTAAAACCTCTACTAAAACAAAACTATAAGAATTTGCTGTTTTTCTCTTGCCTCTTTGTCTGCCTCTTGCTTTCCTGTAAATTCTAAGTCCCTGTTTTTTATGCTGAATCCAAGATTTATAAAATGTGTTCTTTTGTTGGTTTATTGGAGCAAAAATTCTCAATTGAGAAGAAAGTGGCTAAATTTAGTGGTCACTTTTCAGTTGTTTAAAATAAGAAACAACTGATTTTTGTTGTTGCTATATCTGGCATTCATTATTACAGGTGATGTTTGATGGTAGCGGAAAGTCCCGTGGATTTGGATTTGTCAGCTTTGAAGAACCTGAAGCTGCTGAGCAGGTATATTGAGACATTTGTGAGAACACTTTTCTCTTCAGTGGAGTTTGCTGAAAGAATTTTTACTCTTTGGTAAAATTATGTAGAAAAGTTGTTTTTTGGGGGGGGGGGGGGGGGGGGGGTGTGTCCTGGGGTAATCTCTGTGGGCAAGGTTTTCTATGTCTGAAAAAAAAAGTTTTTGTTATCAAATGTTACTGTGGCAATTGTTTTGCCAAAGTGTGGGAGGTGTCCCCCCTGAGTGGCTGTGATGTTGGCTCGTCCACAGGCTGTCACAGACCTCAACGGCAAGGACGTGGGCGGCAAGCAGCTGTACTGCGGCCGAGCACAGAAGAAGGCGGAGCGTCAGGCGGAACTGAAGGAGAAGTTTGAGAAGATCAAGCTGGAACGGATCAACCGCTACCAAGGTGTGAACTTGTATGTGAAGAATTTGGATGACGGAGTGGACGACGAGAGACTGCGCAAGGAGTTCTCCCAGTTCGGAACCATCACCAGTGCCAAGGTCAGTGGTTAAGGCCTGAAGATCTTGTCAGCTGAATGGGTAGGGGACTGTTCTCTACCACAGCTGCCTTCACAGCTCAGTGGGTAGGGGACTGTTCTCTACCACAGCTGCCTTCACAGCTCAGTGGGAAGGGGACTGTTCTCTACCACAGCTGCCTTCACAGCTCAGTGGGAAGGGGACTGTTCTCTACCACAGCTGCCTTCACATTTCCTCCTGGACGGTCACCTATTGGCGTAGACAAAGGTCGCTGTTGTGGTGGGGGGGGGGTGACTGTTTGCACAGGTGATTGTCTTCAATTGGGGACTTTTATTAGAGCCTGAGTGTCCTTGGAAATATTTTTAAAAAATAAATATGAAATGTGTTGTGTCCAAAAACTGTTGGACAAAGATAGCCCCCCGGGTGGGGAAATGTTATGTTTCTTTGATTTGGTTATTTTGATGTATGCCTGGTTCCTTTCTGATGCCACACAATTTATCTGTGAGGAGGAAATGTTTTTTTGTCAACATTTGAGGGAAATATGTCCTTGGGTATTTGGTGGGTGCTCTGGTATGGTTAGCTCTTTCTTTGCTGTCAATCATCCTTGCCTCTGTCTTTTTTTGATTTTGTTACTCCTTGTAAGACTTCTATCTTCGGCACCTACATGACCTAATTATGTTGCAAGTGCTGTAAAACTCTTACTAAAACATAAATCATATTGCTTTTCTTTTTATTTGTTACTCTCATGTAACGCCTCTAATCTTACATGACCTGTTTGTGTTGCAAGTGCAGTAAAATAGTGACAAAAACTGATGTATATAGTGATGGTAGTGGTGTGAGGAAATGGCGGGCGGTGGTAGGACAGAAACGGGCTGGCCCCAGCACCCTGGAGGTCAGATTGTGGTATCTGGCGTCTCCTCCCTATACTGGGCGACACTAACACAGGCCTGGCACCCCACACTGCCGCTCTCATGCCAGTCTGGTGGGACCGGCTGCTGCAGAGGTCGTACACTGATAGCCACATAGTTTTCTCCCCTTCCTGTCCAATTTTCTGACCCCACAACACTAACACAGTTCTTTGCGTTTGTTTGCTCATGTACATTGTATGTTGGCTGTTTGCTCATGTATTATGTATGTTGGCTGAGCCTGTTGTCCCAGAAGTGAAGTACAGTGGAACCTGCTCTGACACTCACCTGTACAAGATAGTCACCTGTACAAACGGCCACTTCCAAGTCCATCTAAGACCAGCACCTTTCCCCTGGACACCCGCTGGTAGTCGTGGACAGTTTTGACGTATACTGGATTTGTTTCTGGGGACGCTGAAAACTTTTGTTGAGTGTTGCTTTTGTTAACAGTGGTTACGTCTTATTTCACCTCATTTCGTCTTATTCGGAAATGGTCATTGTTATGTGAATTGCTTGACTGGACAAGGGGTACTTACAAAACTGGGCAACCTTCCCGAGACGAGATGTGGAAATGGGTGTGGGTGGTGTGTGCTCTGTTGTGACTTGCTCCTTCTTTCCTATTCAACATCTGTCGCCCCCCTCCCCTCCCTTCACTACTGTCTTTAGACTTTATGCCATTCCCAAAGGGGGGACATTAACCTGTTCTTATGGACTGTAGAATTGTAAATGGGCTGATTCCTCAATGTCATGCTCATAACTCTGCCTGAACTGCTTCTTTTTCTTTCCTAAACTTTACTATCGTCATTTTCCCTGTACTTCTTTTGTATTTTTGTCGCACTCGACTGGTTTTTATGTGTCACAATTTTTGCTACTAAGCAGGGCCCCTTGCCTTCCCTTTTCAAAGGTACTCAGTTTTCATAGAGATTAATTTTGAATTTTTGCCTAGGTGGCGGCCAAAGTCCACTTTGTAATGATTTTAGGACCAAGGGATCTTTAACGTGTGCAACTTGCACTGGGGGACATCCGGGATTTTTCGCTCATATCTGAGTAGGCTACGTGTTGGATCTTACCTGCAGGGGCTTGGTTGAAAGATAGCAAGTCATGTAGAATGAGAGTAAAGAAGAGGGGGTGGGTGGTTGATGGGTGCTCTGGTGTGGTTTGCTTCTTTTTTTCTATCAAACATCTATCGTCTTTATCTCCCCTCTTTTTTTTTTTATACTCTCTTGTAACACCTCTAATCTTCGGCACTTATATACCTTATTGTGTTGCAAGTGCTGTATAACACTTATTAAAAAAAGAAGAGAGGAGGAGGCTGGGGGTAAGCAGGGATGGGATTGGAGATGAAAGCAGATGACAGAACGTATGGGATTGGAGATGAAAGCAGATGACAGAACGTGTCTAGAGAACAGGAAAGGGAGTGAAAGAACAATTCAGAGAAGAAAATGTTTTCCTGGCTGTTGGGTTTGGAACCGGGATCTTGTTGAAGAATGAGAGGCAAACAGCATAGGTGTAGAGAATGGGAACCCCCTCGTCCTTATCTTCCTTCTTTTCTTTGGTGGGTGGAACTTCCTTTGTATAGGCTCTCATCTTCAGCACGAACTTGCGGGTGCCGTAAAACTGTGGAGAGAACTGAACTAAGTGCTTTTTTCCAGTGTTGCTTGTGTGAGTACATTTGCTGTTGTTTGTCTGGCAGGTGATGGGAGATGGAGGCAGGTCCAAAGGCTTTGGCTTTGTGTGCTTCAGCTCACCCGAGGAAGCTACCAAGGCTGTGACCGAGATGAACGGGCGCATCATTGTGGCCAAGCCTTTGTACGTGGCTCTAGCTCAGAGGAAGGAGGACCGGCGGGCTCACCTGGCCACCCAGCACATCCAGAGACTGGCCACCATGAGGCAGCAGGTCAGACCATTCACTCAAGCTTTAGCCTATATATCGCTGCCATCGGGATTATAATGACTAGTCGCGGGAGAGGCAAAACACTTGGCATCATCACACAGCCAACTGCTTGCCGATGGCTATTTGTAGCATTTAAGAGGCCTTTCTAGTCCAAATGAAGACCTGTCTGTGGTTTAGTATAGGAACAATAATGTGGATACATACGTTTCTAGAGTGTATAGCCACTCTCTACAGCATTCTCTGTGTGACCCCAGCAGACCCAAGAACACTCAAACATTCTCCACTTATCAAGAAGCATAAAATTGATTTACTATCGATTTGTACAATTAAACATAAAATGGATACTTTGTGGGTGACTGGTCTCATCACAAGAGCAACGAGATTTTGTATGCTGTGGAAATGACAAAGCTTCCAGTCTTCCAGCATTATTGTAAAGTTTTCGTGTGATCCATTTTCGAAAATTCATGCTTTTGCTTTTTCTTAGCACTTTTTATGTAGTTTGTTCTAGCTACTGTAACCGGTTGTTCCTACTTGGTTGTGATAGAAAGATGGGTTTGCCATATTTTTCTCGCTGAAAGATATTTAACTTGTCAAAGGTGAAGTAACCATCTTTATTATGGTTGGTAATACCAAGTTATTTTTTTGTTTTTTGTTTTGTTCAGTTTTTTTCCTTAGATTCTGCTCATTTGCTGGTAGTTCGGTTGTGAAAAGATTTTCAAAGACGTATGTGCAGTTATTATTTTTGTTGTTCTTTGATGTGTGTTTTCCTTGTGTGAGCATTGTGTGTTGTTTAACTTGTGGCAGAACGTCCAGTACAATCCACTGTTCAGTGGTGGGGCTGGCTACTTCGTGCCCACCATGCCCCAGGCTCAGAGAGGCTTCTTCACACCGGCCAACATGACCTCCATCCGACCCGCCCGCGCCCCCTGGGGGCAAAGCATTCGACCCAACCAGGCTGCCGGTAAGCACACGTCTGCTCCACTTGTAGGAGATGGGTTGCCCTGACTTGTAGATATCCAGTGTTTCCAGTCTTCTGTATACTTAAAATGGAAATCTGTAACTGTACTTTGCGAAAGTTGTCTTGTTTTCCTTAACACTTCTTCTTTGATGACCCTGTCTGTCCATATGATCCTCAGTAACTTTCTTGACACTTGTTCTAGAAAACCTGGATCCTCTTTATGCAAGTCTGATGCGTTCCCATACCTGCCAACCCTACAGAAAAAATCGGTAGATCACCGACTTTTGGGTCAAACTACCGATCCACCGATTTTGAGATGAAGCCACCGACTTCGGGGTTCAGCAGGGTGACTGCCAGGCCCCCGGAAATTTGAGAAAGTTATCAAATATTTGAAAACCAAACCCGATAATGCCCGAAAGTTCATTTTTGCCGGTCGCGATTGTGATTCATTCGGCTCCCTAGAGAGTATGTTTCTTCACGCAGACAGGCGGCTATGGTGGCAAGCAGGTGTGATACCGACGTTTGATCGGGATAATCAAGATATACTTTCACTTTCGTTACCACCCAGAAATTCGCTGGTAGTAGTTTGATAACGCAACATTAATTGTAACAACATGCAGGCTGTGCATGGCAAACGCTGTGTTGCCTTGAAAATAAATCATTTGTCCTGTGCTGTCACTTGTGAAAAAGAAAAGAAAAGAAAGTTATAGTTATACAAGCGTCTTGTTGGGTTCGCCATTGTGACCCATCAATGAACTTGCGCGTTCCATCACATTGTGAGCACCGGCACTTGTAGGGGTCACCAAAGTTCATTCAAAGTCTGAAGGCAACGCTAGAGGACAAAAACTGAACTTGGAAGCAAAATTTTAGCATTTTGATTACTACTTTAGAGTTCTCTGCAAAGCGCGCGTTGGTGCAGGCCTTGTGTGGAATCAGGATCCGTCATGCCTTGTTATTGAACTAAAGTGTTCGCGTTTCATTGGATGGGGTGATTGTAATTTATATCTATATTTTATTAGCTTTCTGTTCAAGATTGGCAGATTTTCAGTGTCACTGCATCTTGGCCCCCCCCCCCAGTTCTTACACCTCTCACACTGAATAGGTGTATAGGTGTACTTGAGCCATTCTAGTTATTACTCTATTTTGAGTTGCAGCAATGGTTTTCGTCTTCACGTTTATTATATGAATCAGGACACCCAGACTGGTTATTGACAGTCGATTTTCTAGTTCTAGGTCTTTTCTCAGGCTCAAAACAGGATTCATTTTTTTATATAGGGTCTATAGTTTGTTATGTTGGCTAATATGATGATGGGAAAATATAAATAAGTAAGAACAGATTGAAATACCAAAGTCTCAAGATCCCAGTGCTACACTGACTTGTTGTTAACTGGATATAATGTACCTACATGTGTGTGTGTGTTCACAAACATATACATGTATTATATTAGATATAAATGGAGCACACGCTTTCATTGTTATGTAACGTGTTCCTGAAAAATGGATGAGGCCCCTCCCTTGGAAAATTGAGAAGCTGGGTTGGCAGTCACCCAGTATTATAGTCATGTATTGTTTGAAGACTATACTACAAAATGTACATTTGCATTAATTTATAGACATTTTGACTTTTTATCATTGATAGATTGGCTTTTTGGGGATCATTCTTGACGCGCAGCGGCCTGATTTTTCCCTCGAATTGGGGTCTTGAAAAAATTTTGGGGGTCTTGAAAAATTTTCCCAGGATTTGGTGGGGACCCTGAAAGATACACTCGCGGGAGGGGGGGGGCGGGGGCGGTGAAGGCAACACCAGGCCAGGGGACAAAAACTGAATTTGGAAGCTAATTTTAGTATTCTAAATTTTTTATTACCTCTAGATCTAGAAAACTCTGCAAAACCTGTGTTGGTGCAGGCCTTGTGTGGACTCGGGATCCGTCACACTCTTTCCTTGTAAACTCTGCAAAACCTGTGTTGGTGCAGGCCTTGTGTGGACTCGGGATCCGTCATACTCTTTCCTTGTAAACTCTGCAAAACCTGTGTTGGTGCAGGCCTTGTGTGGACTCGGGATCCGTCACACTCTTTCCTTGTAAACTCTGCAAAACCTGTGTTGGTGCAGGCCTTGTGTGGACTCGGGATCCGTCCTACTCTTTCCTTGTAAACTCTGCAAAACCTGTGTTGGTGCAGGCCTTGTGTGGACTCGGGATCCGTCCTACTCTTTCCTTGTAAACTCTGCAAAACCTGTGTTGGTGCAGGCCTTGTGTGGACTCGGGATCCGTCACACTCTTTCCTTGTAAACTCTGCAAAGACAAAAGGCCAAGGCTAGGCCTGAGTCATCCAAGGCCCTCCTTTTCTTCCTCTTTGCTTTTTGGGGGGGGGGGGGGGGTTGTGGTTTTTTGGTTTCATTTGTGTGTGTGTTGGTGCAGGTATGAATAGGACAGGAACTGCACCAACTACTAATAAGGGAAATGCCTCTGGTAGTTTTCATATTTGTCATTTGTTCTTTGTCATTTTCTACATTTGTTTGAAGTGGCAAACACAATCATGCATATTTGATGTGGGTCAAAATAAAATATGAATAAGGGTCCCCAATTAAGTATGCGACAAGAGGTAATATAGCCTACTACAGATTTTTTAGGTCAACTACAGATTTTTGGACAAAAATGTGCGTCCAACGACAGACTTTGGCCCAGGCAATGTTGGCAGGTGTTCCGTATAACAGGACCGACTTCACATTGGAATGGAAAATCCTCAGCTTTGTTCGAAGTGAGATCTCTCTGGTCTTCCAAATCCTATCCAAAAATATGAAAGCAGCCTGTGCTTTTCCAATGCGGGACTTTTATTTCAGCACCTGTTCCTCCCTCTCTGTCAATTATACTCCCATTTTCGCCTGCAAATTGATGTAAATGTCTCGTGAAAAATGAAAATTTTTTGGTTGTCAATTTTCTTCCTTCTTTCGCCAACTCATTCTATGTATGGGTTTTTGCTGCAGCTTAAAAATAATGTGGGTTGATCGAGGAAATTGAATTGGGCAGCCTCTATAATGACATCGTTGGAACCCCCCCCAAAATGTTATTTTAGAGAGGCCACCAAACTTAGGGGGGGGGGGGGGGTGTGTAAAACCAAGAATGCAACGGTACGGTGTGTGGGCCAGTGAATTTGATTAGTTCCTTTATTCAGTTTTTCAAGCTACTCCAAGGTAGCCCATGCTTTCTTTTTTACCTTTGTAATGGGCGGCGAGAGTCAAAGAAAAAAGCTTGTTATGGAGTGCTTCCAATCTTCCTTGTTTTTGAAGAAATCGGTACATTCTGACAGTCCGTATTTGCCGCATCATCATATCTACTCTGTGCGTTAAAAGGTAAAGAGAGATGCTGTTGTCTTGTCGGCATTCCGCAGCAGCAGAAAAGGATCAATACTTGCCTCCCTAACTTCTCGAATATTTAAGGTAACTTTTGGAAATAAGATTTTGTCAAAAAAGACCAAATCATTTTTGGATCCAGATTCTAGTGGAATGGAAGAAAAAACTGCCAGTGATATTTGTAAGGTCTACAGTTTGTACCTTTGTGGTGCGTTGATGAACCGGCATCTGTGGTGGATGAACCGGCCTCTGTTGTGGATGAACCGGCCTGTGGTGGATGAACCGGCCTCTGTGGTGTAGCAGTTAGGTGCTTTGCTGTCACACGGAGGAGACACATCAGTTTATTTCCCGAGTGGGGAGAATTTTTATCAAGTATCTCGGCCTTTTCTGCAGGGTTGTTGTATCCCTCTCAGCTCTGGTTGGCCCGGACAGGCTGGGTCAGAAGTGTGCCCCCTAAATGGTCTAAATTGTGTTAATGGAAATGTAAAAAAAACCAATGCATCGTCTTTAAAGAATACTTGTGTTGAGGAAAAGGTAGTAGTTGTTGGAGGAGAGAGAGGGTTGAGGAAATGGTGGTTGTTGTTGGAGGAGAGAGAGAGTTGAGGAAAAGGTAGTTGTTGGAGGAGAGAGAGAGTTGAGGAAAAGGTAGTTGTTGTTGGAGGAGAAAGAGAGAGTTGAGGAAAAGGTTGTTGTTGTTGTTGGAGGAGAGAATGGTTTGACCCAGTGTTGGTGTACACACTGGCACAGGCCGGGGACCAGTTGTCAGAAAGTTTCTTCCCACTGCATTGTCTTTCTTTGCTAACTTTTCTGCTTGAAAGCAGCGTAATTGTGTGTGTGTAAGCACTCGTTCACACACACACTACATCTCCTCCCCCCCCCACCACACACACTCACACACACACCTACCTAGGGTTTGATCACCATGCAGTTGGGAATAAGTTTACTGACTTCAAAGAGAAAGTTTGATAAGCTGAAGTAGTTGATGGTTTGCTTGTGTGTAAAGATGATGTGGATGCTCTGTCTGCAGGATTCCAAGCCATGCCCAGCCAGATCCGCACCCGGCCCCCGACGGCTCAGACCCAGATGCGGCCCAACACGGTCAACTCTCGACCCATCACTGGACAGCCCGGCGGTGGCCCCGCCCCTCGCGGGGTGGCCATGCCCAACCTGGCGCGTCCTCAAGGGCCGTCTATGGGCCAGCCTGGCGCGCGCCCGACGGGCTACCCCGGCCGTGGCCAGGGAATGGCAGGCCAGCCTGGACGCCCAATGCCCCAGGTGAGACCAGTGTTTGTTTGGCCACACTGAAATCTGGGGCTGGCCCACACTGCCATGTTTTCTTAGGAATCGGGGGATTTTACTGACATTTGCTTTACCGCTTTTTGTTTGTTGAGGAAGAGGACTCGCCTATATTTTGTGAAAGTCATTTCAATGTCTGTGATTTGTGAGAGTACGCGATCCCCCACATGACTACATTTGTGTTTTTATCTATCGCTTACAAGCCTGACAGTTAAGTAGTACTCGCAAATTTGATACGGATATGCACATTTTTTATTCCCTACCGTATAGGCAGCCAGGAGCGGCACATTTTGCCTACTTAAGTGAGTGACATGGTACAGCACAAAGATAAAAGTTAAGTTGTTGTTTTTTTTGTTACGTACCAGGTTCGCCATAAGGCAGCAGAAGGTTTAAAATGTACATTTTAATCAATATCCTATTGAAAAACACGTCCCTGAAAATGTTGTTTCAAAAGATGTAGATTTGCAACACAACAAACATTGTTGTCCCCAGCCCCAGCAGTCTGTGGTCATCCCCGGCCAGGACCCGCTGACCGCCTCTATGTTGGCCGCCGCCCAGCCCCAGGAGCAGAAGCAGATGTTGGGGGAGCGCCTGTTCCCACTGATCCAGCGCATGCACCCCGAGCTGGCGGGTAAGATCACCGGCATGTTGCTGGAGATCGACAACTCTGAGCTGCTGCACATGTTGGAGTCCCAGGAGTCGCTCAAGCTCAAGGTAAGAAGAGGGCTCTCTCACGCCTCCAATATTGCTTCTTGTTGTGGGGAAACAGGCCAAGGTAGATCTTGGGTCACTTCATCGGGGCAGATGGAACACAGGGGGAGGTCAGGGTTGCGTTGATTTTTTTTGTGGAGCTTCTGGGCAAAGGAATGAATGGGGAATCATGATGGCAGGCCTGCGTGGGAAATTGGCCGAGTACGAAGACCAAAAAAACTTTTACGTGAAATTAATCTTACAAACACTCAAATTGGTATGAAATAACGTTGCTTCGATAAATTGATGGTTTTTATTTTAGCATTCTAGGGTTAAACGGTATAATAATAATTTGTCTCCGCGATCATGCGGAAAGTTGCTTCTTTTTTAAAATTCTGAGTTGAGACCCATGAATAATGAGAAGTCCACATGTTAGTTTGAGAGATCCTTGGAATAACTTGGATTTTTTCTCCTTTGAGTAGCTTGATTATGTTGAGTAGAGAGAAATGTGTGTGTGTGTGGTACAAGGCCAACGTCCAGCGTGTGTGTGGTACAAGGCCAACGTCCAGCGTGTGTGTATGTGTGTGGTACAAGGCCAACGTCCACTGTGTGTGTGTGTGTGTGTGTGGTACAAGGCCAACGACCACTGCGTGTGTGTGTGTGGTACAAGGCCAACGACCACTGTGTGTGTGTGGTACAAGGCCAACGACCACTGTGTGTGTGGTACAAGGCCAACGACCACTGTGTGTGTGTGTGTGTGTGGTACAATTCCAACGACCACTGTGTGTGTGTGTGTGTGGTACAAGGCCAACGACCACTGTGTGTGTGTGTGTGTGGTACAAGGCCAACGACCACTGTGTGTGTGTGTGTGTGTGGTACAAGGCACCACCATGTAGTAGTGTGGGTCACTCGACTGACGCCTCTACTCCACACCCAGAGAACAAATTTGTGTTTCTAGTGGCGTGAAACTGTTGCTAAAAGTGAACATCCATCGTCCTGATCTCACTGTTCCGTTTGCTTGTTATTGTCTGGTAACACCTAATGATCTTGGATGATGATGATGTGACCTGTGTACTGTTGCCCTGACATTTGGACCACAACCAAGACGCATGTTTTTCTGTCCCCCCCCACAGGTGGAAGAAGCTGTCGCTGTCCTCCAGGCCCACCAGGCTAAGGAGCAAGCGTCCACCAAGAAGGACTAGGTGTAGCGGGCCACGCAGGCCAAGCCACGGGGGCCACGGTGGTGGGATGGGCCAGTGCTGCCACTGAAGTGACAGAATGGAGCCACCTCCCACCTGTTTTCTCTTTGACTGCGCCTCCCAACTTTTGGCTCATGGTTTGGACTGTTCTTCTCTCAGATTGTGTCCTGTAACGGTTTTTTTTTGGTTCACATATTGTTTTGGTTTATTTCAGTGTTGTAACCTTGTGTGTGCGTTGGAAAAAAACAACCCTTTCTCTCCCCCCCACCCCCACCCTGGAGTTCAGAGCCAGTTGTTGGGGAGAGGGGTGTGTATGGAGTAGTACACTCCTCATGATGGGGGGGACCAAGCCGCGCACACACTGCCAGATCACGGTCTCTTTAGCCTGAGTCTCTGTGGACTTGGTCAGTTGTCAGTTTTTTATCTGTCCGGGAGATCTGTGGTCTGGGCGTCTTTTCTCCGTCGGTCAGACTCAAAGTCTGGCTGGGTCGGGGACTTTATCTTGTATTTCTTTTATGTTACAATTAACCTTTTTTCTTTTCCCTCTTTTAAAAAAAATTTTTGGATAGGTCATCCACTTACAGTTACGGCGTTATTTGGGTTTGATCAATTCTTTTATGTCATTTTGGCGGTTTGTGGAACAGCTGTCAGTAGATCTGCTTTCAGCGAGCTGTTTGCTCCACTGCATTGACACACCTGTCACTGCTTTACTGCATTGACACGCCTGTCATTGACACACCTGTCACTGCCACTCCAATGTTGTGTCCTGGTGCAAGCAGCCCTGTGTCACTTGTCCTCCCTCCTCTGTCCTGTCTGTCCTCGTAGCACATCTTGGCGGGCGGGCTCCGGGCACCTTGCCTTGGCCCCCACCCCACAGACACACAGATGACAGGATCCCCACTGCCGTTCATGTGTCCACGTTGTCACAAGCCAGCCAGACGGCTCGCTCAGCAGACTCCTCCCAGCGCCTCCCCCCTCTCCTCCCCTCCCCTCGCCTCCTCCCTTGCCCCTAGCTCCACTGGCCTTTGTCTCCCAGTACAAGTGTGCTGTACCAGCCCTCTTCACAGATTTCTTCTTTGTCTGTGGCACCCTGAAATATTGGGCTCCAATTACCTGACGCAAAAAATGTTCCTTACATTCTGAATTTTTTTATATTCCACCCTCCCCCCAACAGATTTGTGGTTCAAAATTTTGGGTTTGAGCTATATGATGTCTTTCTTTTCATATTTTTTTTTCAAAGTAGATTGTAAAGAAGAAAGAAAAAATGTGTGGAGTTGTAGAGTTCCGGAGAGGCGCTGTGGGTGGACTCTTGTGTTGTGAGCTCACTAAGGCCAGACATACCAAGCTACCCATTCTCTAGCAGGGAGTGGACGGCGTTCTCACCAGACGCAGCCCTCCACGAGCACGGAATGGGGAGTCTCTCTCCCTCCCCCCTCCCTCCCTCCCTCTTCTCTACCTGGGAGTTTGGACATCAGTATGTTGTGTGAGCTGTGTGCCCACCACATGGGTGCGTGTGTCGGAAGCACGTGCCGCTACTCTCGCAGTAGCCCTCTCTCTGTTTTGTGCCAGCACCCCCTCGCTGGTGTCGAGTGACCTCGCAGCACCCCCTGGCTGGTGTCGAGTGACCTCGCAGCGCCCCTGGCTGGTTCAGCGACTCACGGGCCGGCTTCTCGTTGTCACTGGCAACAGGCCGAAAGTGCTGGCACAAAATGGCTGGAATAATTTTTTTTTTTTTTTGTTATTCGCAGGAGAATAACAAAACTCTGTCCAAAAAAAAAATTGTAACAAAACATGTTTTTTCAGGGGACATTGTGGAAACGTTAATAAAAAAAAAACTAGATTGATGTACTTTGCTATTTTCCCAACGTCCCTCATTTGTTTGTGCTGGTTACAGAATTTCCATTTCTTTGTGAGCTGAATACGAAAAATTCCCTGGTTTCTTCCTCATTTATAAGAAGATGGTTTACAAACTCGGTATGGCTGGTCTTATGTGTGGCTGATTAGGTTTCTCATTCATTTGGAAGTAGCTATTTTTATTTCTAATAAAATTCTTTCATTGATTGAAAGGTTTTTATGTGTTTTTTTTGTTGTTGTGGTGTGAGTGCTGTGTGTTGTGACGTCGTCGTGGCTCAGAGTGAGCACAAGAACAGGTTGGTGGCAAACCCTGACCATTGATCTTTACAGCATTAGGCCTAGCATACCTCTGTCTTTCAAACTCTCTCCCTCACACACTCCCCCTCACAGACCTCTCCGGTGGGTGGTTGGCGGGTGCTCTGGTATGGTTTGCTCCTTCTTTCCTATAAAAAATCGATCTTCTCTTTCTCCCCATCTTTTTTGTGTTTGTTACTCTCTTGTAACACCTCTAAACTTAGGCACTTATTCCGTAAAACTCTTACTGAAACTAAAAACTAAACAGACCTCTGCCTCACACAAATCTCAGGGCCTAGGACCTTGTGCAGTTGCGAGCGCCGTAAAACCCCATACGAAACTAAATGGCCCAGGAAATATTGGCATCATTACCCCTTCACCCCCCAGCCAAAAGTAACCAAAGATTTGTTGACAATGACCAAAAAGTCTCTGTTCTTATTTCTGATGGGTAGCCTAGTGGTATTGCTTTTGTTGGAAGTTTGACACAAGATGTAGATCGAGACTGTTAGATTGTTACTGAGAGACAGCTGGGATATTGCAGAGGTAGAGATGTGTGTGTAGCTGGCTCTGAGCTACAAATGTACAGTACAGTACACAGGACTGGGCTGTAGGGGGAGTCAGGAGGGGAACGTGCACGCTGCCTGCCCAACCATTAGTGCTTACAAGGTACACACTTTGGGTGGCTGGTGGGTGCTCTGCTGTGGTTTGCTCCTTCTTTCCAATGCTACAAAAAAATCCATCGTCTCTATCTCCCCTTCTTTTTTGTGTTTGTTACTCTAGTAAAACCTCTAATCTTGGTCACTTATATGACCTTATTGTGTTGCAAGTGCCGTAAAACGCATACTTACTAAAACAAAAGTACACACTACATCTACAGTATGGAGTGGCTGCACTCCAGGAGACAATTGGGGGGAGGGGGGGAGGGGGTGGGGCTTGAAACTGAAAAAGGTGAAATAGAAATTGTGCTTTGCAGTGAACCAAATGTCATGGAGGAAGTATGGCCGCTGGTCTGAGTGTTGACCAAGGCTGATGAAGGAAGCATGGACACAATATGTGCCACCCTCTCATCTCCCACGTCAGCCTCACCAACAGGAGAAAGGTACATTGTCCTCTTGGTGAAGATCTGCCTGGGAGAAAGTGGTGAACCCATCAGGTGGAGGAAAGTCCTAGATACATTGTCTGCGGGCAGACTTCTCTTGGGACTCGATGACACGTAGGTTCACGACACGTAAATGACATCTAGATGGCACACATAGACAACTCGTGCTGCTATAGATTAGAGTCTGTGCTATCTATTATTACTGAGATCTTCTGCACCACGGTGACCTCGAAAGGGGTGCCCATGATGTGTTGGACCTGAAGGGGCTGTTGTTCTGGGATTTTTTGTTTTGATTCGGTAGAATAGAGATCCAAATTGATGGTAGATCTCTCTACCCATGACACCAAAGTCAAAGAAGGCCTTGATGAACTAGTTGAACCCTGAGAGGGCACTCTATTTTCTTACCTTGTGTGGAACTTGCGAAACGAGCTGGTTGCGAGGTAATGCTCTTACAAAAAGCTCTCTCTCTTGCTCTTTACTAAACTGAACCATGCTCTCAGCAGGTAAAGGAAACATACATGTAAGAAAAACATCGGGTCGCTTTTAGGACAAGAGGGCGAAGCCAGATTTTGGGGGTTTCTAGAAATCTTGACCAACAACAAAAGTGGGCATTGCCCTACCTATAGAGGTGAAGTTTGGTTTCATTGGTGTGTATATTTGTTTAGTAATTAGTTATATAGAGAAAACTCTCCTCGTCTTTTAAAGAAACTGAACAAGAGGCAAAAACTTTACCATCAATTTTCTCAAAATAGCATTTTTGTGCTTAAATTAAAAGCGACCATGTTAACTCAGATTAACTGCCAAATTCTGTTTGACTACTTTGACGACCTTGCAATATATGGCATGATCACTGGGACCTTCTACTGCTTGGTACCTTGTACGTCTTCTAATGCTGACTTGTACGTCTTCTAATGCTGACTTGTACGTCTTCTAATGCTGACTTGTACGTCTTCTAATGCTGACTTGTGCGTCTTCTAATGCTGACTTGTGCGTCTTCTAATGCTGACTTGTGCGTCTTCTAATGCTGACTTGTACGTCTTCTAATGCTGACTTGTGCGTTCTCTCATGCTGCGGGATTGGGCACGAGGCAGAACACGGAGTCCTTTTTACACGCCATAAATCAAAACTGTTGTTTGTTGATTTGTCTGTGTAATTAATTCAGTATAAGCCAAATTCCTTTTGACTTCAAAATATAATTATTATGTTCAAATTTGAAACGCAAAGTCAAAGCTTCAGTGTGGAGGAAAATATTTACCAAAAAGTTGTAAAATGAATGTAAAGTTTTTTGTTTTTTTCAATCCCCCTGTAGATTGTAGATGTTTGACCAGGTAGCCTACTTGAGCGGATGCCCCTAGACTGTGGGGCATTGATGAGCATTGGTCTTTTCCTGTCCTCACAAGTATTGCGGTGTGGAAACTATAACTAGATAGCCTACATGCCTACATAATCTACTACTACTACTACTACTACTGCTGCTGCTGCTGCTACGTAGCTTCCTCGGCGAAAATAAAGGGAAATGAGTAGGTTTGTGAAATTATGCGTTTGATTTCATGGATTATGTCCCCTTGACCACAATATCATTCTTCACCTTCGCTGCAATTATTGACACTTGACAACATCCAGTTTTTTTTTATATTATAAGATGATGCTTGCCAAGAATGATGACAATTTGGGAACGGAACGATAGGATATCAAACCATCAAGACGGAACTTATTATCCACTCTGAGGGGAACTATGTAGTATGTAGTTTCAGTTAAGTAAGATAGAATCAATTGTTTCACTGTACAGCCTTTCGTGGCCAGGAGCCGGTGTCATAATCATAATCGAGGTCACGATCTGATAACAATAGAAAATAGAACGGTAAAAGGTCGAAGGGTGAAAGATCCAGGGGAAGACCACGGGGAACCTGGAGAAGAGTCACGGAAATGAACGTACAGAAAAGTGGGAAGACATGGAGTGACATCAAAGCCCAGGAAAAGGAAAGGTGGTGTTTAGATTGTTCGTGGCCAGCTATAGGCTATCCTGATATATAGGGTGAAAAAGGCAATGATGATGAAAAGGTCGAAGAAAAAAACAACAACAAGCACTCACAGCAGCCATGAGATTATTTAGGAGGTGTAGTTCCATTGCCCGAAAGGGGTGAACAGGTTAAATTTATGTAGTGCTGAAACCGTTTTGAATATTGAGCACACTGTTCATTAATTATTATTGGTGATTATATGAATGTTTACATTAATTTTTTTGGGCCTACATTTATTGGTGAATTTGACTGCAACGATGTTCCAAAATGAGGAAAGGAAGCTGTGATGAGAGGCTTCGCCACCCGGCAAACTGTCCAAATGTTCACTAATACTATAATACTAATATTTCTAAACCCAGAAAGAAAGAGGTAGGCTGGAAAACTGAAAAGGAATGCGCTACAAGCATCAAGCATACCGTGGTGAGTTGGTGAATTAGACATGGGGGGAGCACTACATCTATGTCAGAGCCTATAGAAGGG